TACCTTAAAACCGCTGTACCAAACAGAGCCTTAGTATAATTGTGATTTTTATTTTTATTTTTTTATTTTTTAAAAATATATATATTAAACCTAACTCTCAATAAAAATTGGAGTTCTCCGTTCAAACGGCGCCAATTCATTTAAAGATTGATCCCCAACCTCTGCTATTTTCACTCCATTCGCCGCTGCAGTTCTCCATCTCCATGCCTCCTGTGATTCATCTCTCCACGCCTCCTCCTACAATTCAATCAATTTGTCCTACATAATCCACAGCAAGCCCATGAAAGATCAACAATGGAGACAAGACCAATCTATCTATCTATCTCTCATTTCTCTTTCGTTTTCGCTCTCTAATTCTTAGTCTACAAGAGTTATAAGAGACCAACAATGGAGAGCTTGAAGCCAGCAAAGCAGAGTTCCAGTTTTGGGCTCCACACCAATATGGTTTGGAGAGGGAGGAAACTAGAGAGAGAAGTTTCATAACACAGAGTCAAAGAAATTCAGTTTTATGGGCAACGATATTATGCATCATAATGTTAAAGGCCATTTCATGAAGTTTTCCTTTGATTCCTTATTTCTTACCTTTGCTGTGGTTTTTAATAAACAAATTGAATGAATTGCAAGAGGAGGCGTGGAGATGAAGAATTGCAAGAAGTGTGAAGATTAATTTTTAATGAAACAATATCATTTATTGAGAATCCAATGTTATATGCACTTTTTCTTCTAACTTTTATAAATTTGGTAACTCAGAAAGTCATGCAATTTCTTGTATATTTTTAACATATTAATACAATTGTTAGAGAAATAATAAGAATTAAAATATTCTCTGGTTTCAGTTGTAATCTTGAGGGTGCTAGTTTCCAACCGTCAACGTTACAGCAGTTTAAAAAACTGGAACTCCAGTGTAACTTAATTTATAAATTTCTTGCAGACATTTGACAATGGCCAGGTTATCTGAAAGAAAAGGCGTGAGAGAGAGAAAAGAGGCAAGCATTAGATAACAAGAAACAGCTAATGAACTGTATTACAAGGAGGCGAAGTGTACAAAGATTTGAATAAAGGTTTTGAGATCTAAATGATACAAGAATCAAAACCTGCCAACCCAAGCCACAGGTCACTTTACACATTTTGACACTTAATGATCCAAACTCATAAAACAAGACCAAGACATATGCCGCAACAGCACAAATAAGGCAGCAAATGAGAAGACAAGTGCCCTCAGAGAACCAATATAATTCATTAGCTTCGTGTGTCAGCTGGGCTCTGCACATGGCCTACCACGCTCCAAGTACACAAAAGCATTCCAGCGTATACCTGTAAAACCATAGTGAAAGCCAACAATTAATTGGCACTTACCATGGTGCTGGCTAGCTCTCCTTCCACAAGGACTACTTCATGGCATGCATCACTCCCAAGCATTAGGCTGTTGACTTCAAACTCAACCTGCTAAAAGGAACCACGAACCAAAAAAACAGTATAAAGAGATCATAATTCACATATACAAAACACAGGTCTCAAAAACACATGCCTCATCACCGGCTTCTGCAAAGTTTCTGACCTAGCTTGATCTTGAGATTTCACAACCTTCCCAAGTGTGATATTTGGCTACACAACAAAGACAAAGTTAGAAGACAAGTCAGGTTCTGAACAACATTCAAATCATATGAAAATTAGAGGGAGGGTATAGTATCTGAGCCTTTAACACAAAATACAGTCAGGCTTTTAAGCAGAGTTACTGGAGACATAGCACGTATGGTGGTGCAAGACCTGCCACTGCATATGCACCAGTTGGGACTTAGGAAATTGACAGTGCAAACCATACTTAGGTTGGTAAAAACGTAAGATTAAAATACAAAAGGATGCAATGACTTCTTGATGACATCTTCAAAAGAAATATAGAGAACTGTGAAATTTTGCTAAAAAGAGGAAGGGGAGACATAAAACATGCTCAAAAGTCATTTATTCCCACGGATCTTACTCCATTGCAACATAAATTGTGGATTCCTGACCCTTTGAAGTGCAAGAAAACAAGATTATCCAGAAATAAAATATAAACAATTTATCCCATACCATCAACAATGATCCATGATATGGAAGGAAGGCCACTAAAGGGACATAAAGAATACCAAAACAGTATGAGAACCAGGAACTGCAAAGAAGAAATTTAGAAAATATTAAACAGAATGAGTTCAGAAGTTGGATTTCAAACCTCTAATTCTTTGGTCATGCCATTTTGAAATACACCACTTGCATTTAGACGTCCATTTTCCAGAAGTGAGTCCAAATCTGCACCACAGATGCCACCCTGCAAAGATCCCTGACTCTCACAATCTTGAACTTCCAGAATTCTCACTGCTCTCTGGTACAAATCTTTAACCCAAAATCCTCAAACAGAGAAACTCACCTCGCAATTGAGGTTCTGAGAATTGGAATTTGACCCAAATACACTTTCAGCAATTTCTACTATAGCCGTCTGATTATAGGGTTTGACTACCTCTTGATCAACCTTTTCAAGATCCCTTTTCCAGTTTAAACTCCTCCTAGAAGATCCATCCTGTAAATCATCCATGCAAGCTGATTCTAAATCTGCAATTGAATCCTGATTAAATGTGGCCTTGCATGTTTCTTTTACTTCCAAACTGGGAACTTCAGATGAAGCAAGATGATCTTGTCTAGGAATGGTTTTGACTGCTTCAGCTGAGGTTACATCATTCCTAACCAATGAAAAAACATGCACATCTAACGATGTCTGCTTGCTTAAGGTAGCAGGATTACAATCAACAGTTTTCCCCTGTTGGTTGGTAAACCCCAAAGTTCCCTTTCCACTGTCTACCTGCTCAGTTAATGACCTAACCACAGAATTGCAATCAACATCCCCATTTGTTGCGCATTCTAATTTAGCTGCTTCACCAAAACTAACATGAGATCTTCCACCAGACACACTTGTATTGCTTTCTGGAGAAACAACCTCAAGCCTCTGGGGGCTGATAGAGGCCCGCTTCTCTGGTTTAGAATCTACTAAACCATCATCATGCTTTCTCTTAAGTTGTCTCTCTGCAGAACCAGACTGAGACCGTGTAATGTCTTCAGAGGTTCTTCCACCCTGCTGGCTTAGAGGCCTCAATGATCGGGGTCGTTTATACCCATCAGGAAAAACAAAGGCAGGAAGCTGCTTCCTCCGAACATGAGAAACAAAAATTTCCATTCCTGGTTTCCAGAACAAATACTCATAAATCTCTTGCCTGAACTCTTCAACTGTCCCACGTATATCAAATTGCTGACCTTCCTGACCATTCACTCCCTCTTTCCTCTGCAAGCCCATAAAGAAAGCACAATGTGGGAACTGCTTGGATGTATCTGCATACTCATTTGGGTAAGGATGACACTGCAACATCCCATTTGTGTCTCGCTCTATCTGTAAAGTGACACATGATCTCACAAACATCAACAAGATAGTCCTGCAGCAAGAGGTTTTTTTTTTTTTTCGGAGGGGGGGGTTGAGGGTGGGGAATGGTTTTACCTTCAAAGTAAGCTGTCTAAGGCGTGACTCCACCCGGCCCTTCCATGCCAGCAAATCATCAGCATCTGATGCAACTATGTCAACTTGTAGATAGTTTTTATATGCCTCAAAGAAAAGATATGGCTCAAACAAAGCACTCCATTGTGCTTTGTTCAGCTCAATCTCCTACAATAGGACAGAATTACAAAAGTAGTGCATCATTGCTCAATTTTAGGGCAAATAGAAAATAAAATTACCAGGCATTCTCACCTCACACATCTTGTTACCACATTTAAACTGTTCCACCATAACACGAAGAGTGCTTAGAGAGACATTATAGCTAGAGTTCATGCATGGGTATGCAGGAGTTATTATGGGCATGTGATGCAACCGATCACGAGGATTCTTCCGAGGATCCCATACAGTTAAACCAAGTTCATCTGCTTCTATTGGACACAGCATCACAGGATTTGGCCACCGCCACTGGGTATACACTCTGAAAAATCGAGAAACCAGCATACTGGGAATTGCATTGGGATAGAGCTGGCAGACACGTGCAACTAGGAGAGCCCAATTAACACCTCCTAAAAATCCAGTTACCTACAAAAAAGAAAATGCAGATAAACAAAATATGAAAGAGAAAGGACCAACAAAGAAGAAAAACCCATCAATATACTTATCTTACATTAGAATATACACCACGTCTTTTCGCCCAAAGCTTCAAACATCTGAGTGCCGTCCGGAAGTGCTACAGTTATGCAAAGGATTAAAAGACTGTTTAATACAAATAAAAATTAAATAAACAGAGCAAGGCATGTGAAATGTTCACCTCAACATTTGGAACAAGTTTAAGGATTTGATCAGCAACCCTGCACCCATTAAGACTTCGAACAGTTTGTTCATCAGTTTTATACAGCACAGACCCATGAGAAATGTCAAAGTCCTGTTGATCATTTCCAGAAGAATGAAGGTATCAAACCGAATGTGGTCCCATAAACAGGAAAGACATCTTAGCCACAAAATTGTAAAATGTAAAGATATTCCTCGGGCTATTGGTCAAACTCATTTTGAACCACCAAGCCCCAGTTGCGGCATAATAGCCGTACAGAACCCAGACCCAAATCCAATACAAGATCACTTCTATCTGTTCTACATTAGAAGACCACTCTTCTTGTTTTTCCTTTTATAATACGTAACAAGTAATGGCCTCTCAAATCCATATTAAAGTCTTGCAGATAGAGAACCAAAAACCTTATGAGTTCTGGCTGACATATATTTCAGAGTGGGGGGAGGGAGGAAGGATTTAGTGGGGTCAATGATAATGCTAGCTTCAAATGATAATAAATTAATGGGTTTAAGACTTACATCTGGAACAACCAAAAGAGATATACTCGCATAAAGAAGATCAATTGATATTCCCTGGAACTTAAATTTCATAACAGGGACATGGGCATCTGGAACCGGTTGAAGTTCAGTAACTTCTTCCATTTCAGCCAGAGTATTATGCAAAATAATGAAGAAATCTTCCTGGGTGAATAAACTCAAACAAATATTAGTAGAACTGAAACAGAAAGGCAATCAGACTTATTTAAAGTAAACAATTGCCAGCTAAACCCATGTCACCTCTCGATTTACATAAGATGGTCCAACACATAAAGTGTCTATGTCAGCCCCAGATCCATGTACCTGTCAAGGCAGTAGCTTGTTACTTCCAATGTTGCAAAGACACAACAGGTAGAATCAAAACAATGCAGAGCAAATTGCACTAAGGGGTTAGTTGGTTCCAGAAAAGATTTTACCCACTTAGAAAGTGATCGGGAAGTTTCACTGGGGAAATGATGCCAAATATTCCATTTTCTGTTTGCACTTTGGTGATGTGGGAGATGTGGGAAATCAATTTTTCTAGGGTTTTTTGCCCCCATTTCCACTTCCTTGGCTGGGAAAAACTTTCCTCAGAGAATTAGGAGGTAAAATTTCTAGGCCTTGCTCAGGGAAGTGAAATGGAAAATTTATGCCAGAGGAAGGGGTGATAGCTCACAGCTGGTATGCAAAACTTCCCCATGTAAACTTCTAACTTCCCAGTTAACAAACATGCCTTTAAGTATGAGACTTGATACTTACCCCAAGACGGTAAGACCCAAAGGTAAGAATTACAGCATTAGCTTCCTCCACCATTTGATCTGTGTAGCCCCTTTGACGAGTTAATTGTTTGACCCAATCTTTCACGATCTACAAGGAGAGTGAATTAACTTGGTTACAAGCTTCAACACCAAATAATATGAAATAAGTAAATGCATTCTTGAAAGGAAAAACTAGAAACACAAAATAATAAAAAATAGTAATGATAATAATAATAAAAATTAGATTTTTACAACATCCACATTATCACGGAATCAGTAAGGGATCAAGGATGGGAAACACAAATGCAGTTAACTGGAAGAGGAAAACTATGTTGACACCACACAACAAAAAATGCCCACAAAAGGGAAGAATTCTGTTTGCTAAGCCTGGGGCCATGGCCTTTTTCCTGACTTCATTACTTTTCTGCAATTATTATTTTCTTCCCAAGTATATTTATTCTATAAATTTTATAAAATACATAAAATTTCAAGATTTAGAATTACCATACATGCAAACAATAGAACATGTAAACAAGAAGATATTTTATCCCAGGCAAGACAAGTCCTTAAAAGTTTTTGACAAAACTATTGCAAAACCAGTCAGATTCAAGATAAAATCCTGAATTTGTCAAGGGCTCACACTCCAAAGATTTTCCAGAGTTAAATTAGTCACCAAACATCTTAGAAATCCTCAACCAAGAATCCTTCTTCCCAGTTGGGCTATGATTTCTACCCTAGTCAACTGACAGCTCAAGTAAATTGCAAATCCTAATGCAATTCTTGATATTATATCTAGTTGCACATATTCTACCGAAGCACTCTGCTCAGCTGCAAATCTATAGACTTTCTTCACTAAACAAGCAATAACCGACAATGATTACCTGACTGATACGACCAAGAACTTCTTCTCTCCTGGCAGCTTCTTCCTTGCTCTCATAAAGCCCCGACTCCATCAGAAACTAAAAATCTCAAGATGATAAAATTAAGTAAAACATTCAACTTATGAAAAATAAAAAAAATAAAAAAAAAACTTTCATCGAAAAAGGAGCTACCTTCTCCAATTCAGCATTGCGTTGGATATCAGCCTCGGCTGGACCAGCAAGAGATATCGGCTTCGTGATTCCGTACTTCTTCGATGTTTGCGATGGCGGCGGCGGCGAAGATCCAATCGGACTCCGAGAACCAGCCATTGCGTTACAGGAGATTAAGATCCTAAAACGACTCCTAAAACACAAAAGCTTGACTTCAACCGAGGATCCGAACAATTCCAACCGATTCTTAAACGGATAAAATCAATTCGACTGCCAAAACGTGAAAACAACACGATTTGCCGCGGAAAAAAAAAAAGTTGGATTAGAACACAAGAGGAGTTTAAAAAAAGGTTTTTTTTTTTTTTTTTTCTGAGGGGGCGAACACGATTAGGCAATCACGAATTGGAACAGATCGGAACCCTAATCCGTCGCAGAAACGAAATTCAAAACGAATCGAAAAAAAATCAAACACTAAAATTGAAGAGAGCAGTAGATCTAAACTGGAGATTGAGGGAAAGTAAACGCATAAGCTTTTGGTAGGAGAGAAGGGAAAGATCGAGAAACATCAAGGAAGAAGAGGGGGAAAGAGGGAGCGAAGAGGCTTCGGTCGGCTAATGGAGCGTTTGGAAAAATAAAGTCGTGTTTTTTTTTTTCTGTTTTAATCTCTGGTTTTAGATGAATAAATATAATTATTATTTGAGGGAAAATCTTAGTCAGTGTCCAACCTTTCTAACATGGGAGACTTCCATCCTCATCTTCTATTTTGGGACAGTACAGTCCCCTAGGCTTCTTGATGTCAATCTCAAATGGTCTTTCTTATCAAGTCCTAAGAGTAATCTTATTACGAAAATTTTTTTTTCCCAAGTTATTTGTTGAATTCTTTTTTGAAAGTTTAAAACTTTTTTTATTGAATTTTTATTAAAATTGTTAACTTTTTATATTCAGTAAAAAATTAATATTGTAAAAATTGTAAGAAAGTTATTAAGTTTTGTATTAGAATAATCAAGGATGAACTCTTTATTTTCAAAAAATGTGGAAATGAATGATTATTTGTCATGAATTGTGTTAGGCAAAGTTAAAGTTTAGAACCCAACTTCACCATTCTTTCGCTTTGGTGTTTAGATTTGAAAATAACAAAATAATCTTAAAGGAACCAAATAAATGGAAAAGCTTCTTTCCTAGCCAAATGCACCTTAACTTGGGACTAGAGTGTGACATTTCAAGTTGTAATGCTTGCATCAAGGGAGGAGATGGATGAACATAAAGATTTAGAAAATTTCAAAGTAAGCTTTCAAACTAATGGGAAAGGAGAGATAATAAAAGTTGACTATAAAACATATTACGTCCTATTTCTATCATGACTTAGTGTTTAAATTTAATTTAATTATGGTATTAATTTTTTATTATTTTTTGTAATATTTAATATACAATATTTACTTGATTTACATCAAACTAATCAAAATATCACCACATTAATAAAATACATATACTATATTATATCATGATTTATTTTTTTGCTCTAACTGAATGGAAAGATTATTAAATTGATTAGAGTTTAAGGACTGTGCTGTCTCAAAATAAAGGGTTTAGACAAAAGTGTCTGATATTTGGAAGGTTAGGAACTAAGAGTGGAATAATACCCATTACATTATTTTATGTCTTGGGTCGGGGCAGAAACGGAATAAATATACACAGTGGTTTTTGTTTGGTAATAGTGTACAGTGACAACAGTCCTGTCTGGCATTGCAAAACGCGCTTTCTCATGGAAAGTTCAAAATGGACGACCGAGACCGACTAAAGGATGATTCGAAGAAACCTGCTTCCTTTCTTCTGGGTGGGTAAATGGAGGTGTGAAAAATCTAAATCTTTAGAAGAAGATTTTGTTTACCATATGGCAGGCAAATGTTGGAACTTTTGCAATGAAAAATGATTGAGTTATATACCAACAATTTAAATAATTCAGTATTTTTTTTTTTTGTTGGAAATAATAAATTTTATATTTAAATTATATGATATACGAGTGAGATAAAATAAATGATGACAGATAATTATCTCATTGTATAATCAAGATAAAAAAAATAAGTTACATAATATAAATTATTTAATAAAAAAGCTGTTTTAATATTAAAAACTCTTCTCCACTTAATTATTTTTATTCTGTAATTTGATATAATCTTATTTTAAAACAATGAATTATTTTTTAATTCTAACCCTAATAATTTTTTAGTTCAGAACTATTTATTTAAGTGTTTAGAAACAACTTATGCATACCTAAATTACTTTTTCTTGTTTAGATTAAGTTAGTAAGGAAATCTAAGTGTGAAACAAGAGATTTATGATTTTTTATTAACTTTCTAAAAAAATCAAAACTTAATTTAATAAGGTAGTTCGCATTAATTAAAACTTCTTTTGGAAGTATCATGCAATATTACAATCACAATATGACATAACATTTTCAAAGAAAACTTACGTAGGTGACTTTGATAGTAGGTAACGTCATTATTATTGTTTGACTTTTTGTTAAGGTTATACAAATAGTTAATAGTTGTATTTGTTTTAGTTGATTTTTATGGTTAATTGTGATATTTAAAAATATGAATTTATAAATTTTATTTTATTTTGTTAAATGATAAATATTAATAATTTTATCAATTAATTATTATAATTATCAATTAATTTTAACAATCAAATAATATGTCATCTAGTCTTCACAAAAGAGCATGTGGCAATGACCATTCCCTATAGTAATTATTAGTAAATAATAAATAATAATAGTAATTTTTTAGTTAAGAAAAAATAATAACAATGTCATAATTATAATATTACAAAAATTTTAAATTATAATTTTATATAATATTAAATAAAATATAACATAATATTATATAAGTAGATACATATAATATTATAAGTAAAATTAATTATCTAAATAACTCAATGATTATTTTTTTTCCATTGAAAATAAAAAATCTTGAATTTGAGTCGCATGACATGCAGATGGAGTGAAATAAAAAATAAAAAATGATTAGCTCTCATGAAACTAATATTAAAAATATATATAATTTAAGTAAAATTTAATAATATTTATAATACTATATAATATTATGGTAATATTATAATAAAATGATAAATAGTAAATATCAATTTTAATTCCGAAAAGTATGGACTTCAGCTCAGAGTTGACAGAGTTGGGGAAAAAATGGGTGTTTTATCGATTAGGAACAGACGAGTAATGATGTTGACTAATGTAAAGCTGAATTTCAGTAGTGAGCAGTACTAGGGGCACTCGCTTTTTGCACTCTCCGGCCAACACTTCCCCTTTCATTGGGCCACGTAAGCTTCTTTAAGCTTTCAGCGCAACCTTTTGGGAACCAAAATAACGTGGCCCAATAAAAGAGAAAGTGTTGGCCGGAGAGTGGAGGAGGCGAGTGCCCCTAGCATTGCCTTTTCAGTAGTTGACTGAGCCCAGGATAACAAGCTGAAGGCTGAACTGCTGAAGCCCTTTGCAAAATACTATCCTCAATGAATCTAATTGAAAAACGATTTTGCAATTTTGTAAAATAAAAAAAATATTATTTTAGCGGAATTATACTTTAAAATTTTTTATATTTATTTATTATTATTAAATAATAATCTAATAATTTTAGTGTTTAAATTGTATTTTGACCATTAATATTTTTCCTCAAAACCTCCATTTGTTTATGGCAGAACTCACTAATCTTTCAGAGGGAGATAATGAATCTTAAACAGGTGTGTGATCAAATTAAACATCAAATTAAATTTAACTCACTCTCATGGATCAAAGCAAAATGGATACCAAACTTATCTCAATCAAACTGGTATGGTAATTTTAGGGAATCTTGCACGATTCACTCCCAGTGAAGATCTTTCCTTGCACACGAAAAGAATCATGTTAACAGTAGGATTTTGGGTATGGTTATCTT